ACTCTTTTGGTGAAGTCTTTTGAAGAGCATAGGTGTTTGATTTTTAGAAGATCCCAGTTATCTAGCTTATCTGTTGGGGTTTGTGCGTTGATGGTTATGGTTTGTATCCTGTTAATGTCAATGGCTGATTTTTCAGAAGTAGATCACCAGGCCTTTCTTTTGAAGTGCCTCTGGGTGGACGCAAACCTCCAAACCTTTCAGTTACACCAAGCATGCTAACCATTTGCACCACTCAGGCACAGTGTACAAGGTACTTTTTTCTAGGAAAGGGGACCTGATACACAAGGAGGAAGATTATGAAGGTTGGATTTTTTTCTCTTGAATAAAAGGAAGATATATCCCTGTGAGGGCACATTGGAACTTTCTGACCAAGAAATCGCATCTATTTTGTAGAAAGAAGGCCAAGAGTGTCTGTCGGTATTTTTTGAATCGGCAGTATCTTCTTACAGTTGTGACTGTAAATCTTCATGGTAAAATTGACTACCCACTCTTGAGTCTTCAGCTCTTGGTCTGACAGCCTTAATTTTTTTGGTCCTTTGATTGCTTGATAGATCTTTGTTTCGTAATTAGGTTTGCTCTTGGTGAAAATTTCCTTTCACTTTTAATCCATTGATAGCATGTTCCAAACAAACTTGACCCATGTTTCCGAGGTGTAAGCATGCTCAGAAGCACGCATACGCCTGTCCTTCTACCGTTAACACATTATTTGGGGTTGACAATAAGCCCTGTCAGTAGCAGATTTGTATCTCAAACAGTGTTGTCTTTTATTAGAAATCACAGATGTGTTTATTGTAGTGTTGATAAAAAAAAACAAATACAGCAAAAATGGCTTTCTTATGGTTTGCTGCGTCTCATTGATTGGCATGTCATGGGACTGTTGCAAGATTTAAATTATAAAATGCAGGTAAAAATACTCAAAATTTTCAGAGAAATATCAGTAGCTTTCAGTAAATGATAGTTATTTTATTATAGCTAATATATACTATGGAGCCCTGGTGATGCAGTGGTTAAGAGCTCAGCTGCTATCCAAAAGGTTAGCAGTTCTAATCCATCAACCATTCCTTGGAAACCCTATGAGGCAGTTCTACTCTACTGTAGAGTTGCTATGAGTCAGAATCGACTCGATGGCAATGGGTTGTAATACATATTATTTTTGTGTGTGTCTTGATTTTTCACTTTTAAGCAGTTTTATAGGAGGAGAAAATAAGCGTTTTGAGGATGGAAATAGTATCTTCTCTTTCTTTTTATACCTCTATAATTTGTTTCACTCTCAAGAATCGGGTAGGCACCTGGAAGTGTTGTTTAAATGACTCATTTTCCATGTGCTGGTGTCAAATGAGGAGTCAACTCTCCATCATTTTTATTTCTCTATGACAGACTAGCCACAAGTGGAAAAAAATGTTAAATATACTCCTGAATTTGTGGTATAAAATATAGCCCTCTGAAGAGAATTATCATGGTACATTACAAAAATGGTTGGGAGATTTTTTTTCTTAAAAAATGATACTTCAGACATTGCTTGAAATCATTTGTGTTCATACAAGACATCCATGTAAAACTTTACATTTTATGGTCAGTCATGGTAAACTTTTCACTTGGAAACGTAACCCACATAAGCATAACAGCTGAAATTATTTGATGCTCACAACGATTAAACTAAATTTCCAGAGTTAACAAATACAGATGTAGGACTGCCTCTTTTTCTCATGAGCGTAGTGATGATGATTCAGGAATGGACACCATGTAGAGGTCATCAGCAGGAACTTGATTGCACAAAGTCAGACCAAGTGTCTCTGTAGGGTTTGCATGATTCACTGTGCAAGTTTACCAGGGGAGAAAGGGATGTTGTTATTTTGAATGAGAAGCAGCAGCTCTGAGATAAATATATTTTGTTGAGATTACTTAAGAATTGATTAGAATTTGTCTTTAGAAGCTTGGACTAGAACCTCAGTTAGTGAGACTGCTATCCTATGGCTTTTATTTTACAATACTGTCTTCCTATATTTTAGGCCAGTAGGAGATAAAAGCCTTAGTCTGGGAGTCAAAATAACCTGAGTTCTAGTCTCAGCTCTGTAAATAGAAAGATTTGCCGCTCTTCACAAGAATTGTCGCCTCTGTTCCTTAACTTACTCACTCAAATTAAAGTAAAAATTTTATCTCTCCTGTATTTTTTACTGAGTTGTTGTTACAATCATGTTGAATGTGAAGGTTATACAAGTGATAAGCTGTATATTGAGTGTGCTTAATAACTGGGAGTCTATTTCAACAGCAGTAGTAGCAATTTCTGATGCTAATACTTTTTTAACTTTTATGCTTTTTTCTTTGTTTCCATTTTCTTCTGGACTTCATCATCAACACTTTTTTCTTCTTTTTTAACATGCATATTGTATTTTGCCAGGAGGAATGCCAATCATCAAATCATATTGATAGTTGAAGTGAAGTGTTCCTTCTGTTTTTCTTTTTGATAATACCAAATTGTCCTTTTCAGTCTGTACTTAGATATTAGTTACAATATCTTCTTTTCTTCTTATTTACACAGGAAATGACTTATTTCTTGTAGCAGTTCATGAACTGGGACATGCTCTGGGATTGGAGCATTCCAATGACCCCACAGCCATCATGGCTCCATTTTACCAGTACATGGAAACTGACAACTTCAAACTACCTAATGATGATTTGCAAGGCATCCAGAAGATATATGGTAGGTTACCACTGTCAGCTTTGAAAACATTATGCTTAGTGAAATAAGTCAGTTACAAAAGGGCAAATATTTTATGATCCCACTTACATGAAATACCTAGAATAGGCAAGTTTGTAGAGACCAAAGTTTGTTAGTGGCTACCAAGATGGATGGGAAGGTGGGGGAAAGGAGGATCAATACTTAGGGGACACTGAGCATCTGTTAAGAGTGATGCTTAAATTTGGGATTGGATAAAGATGATGATTGAGTGACATGATGAACATAATTAATATCACTGAACTGTACACTTGAAGATTGTTAGAATGTCAAATGTTTTCTTACATATATATTTACCAAAAGAAAAAAAATTCTGTTTGGTTAGCCCTACAGTGAAGTCCACGATTTCTGCTGTGTTTTCCTCTTTGAGATAGATGTTCTAAGTATATGTGAGAAGTAAAAACCGATAAAAGTCTGGCCCGTTTGCAAAATTCTTCTATCAATAGAATTTTGTTGGCAAAAGTCCCAGGTATCCTATGTATAGGTTGTGGGAAAGTCTTAAACCTGTACTTATAGTAATGATCTGATAAACTTTAGTATTTGAAATTCAGGTAAAATATGTAATAAGTTAATGTAACCAGTGAAAACAGTGATAAATACAAGCCTTTAATATAAAATGCTAAGCCTTTGGTACAAACTGGCAGATTGGCTCTCAGTTTATGAGGTTTGATGTCAGGTAGTTTCTAGATAAATCACTTTCGAGTTCCTTGTGTGATGGATATAACAGATTGAACTCGAAAGCATGTAATTACTGATAACAGAGTAAAAGTAACAAGTCTGGGAGTGAATATTAACAAATGGCTAAGTTTACTAACCTGGCTCAAAATAAAGGTGAATTCTAGTAGAGTAAAATCTCTACTACTCATGGAGTTTGGTCAATGAATGCAAATTAAGAGAAAAGGGGGAAAGACTATTTATTATACATATTTACTATGATCCTAACTCCCATAATACAATCATTGACCTTTATAAAGACATTTATTTGACCCATAATTATTAAGAATGTGATATTTATAATTTACATATAGTGAATATGCTTTACTAAATTAATGAAGTGAAGCTTTCATTTTTGTAATAGAAAGACAAATGTGTGCTATCTGTATGTTAATATCCAGTATCTAGAAGATGTCATTTGCATTTTTAAACAGCATAGTTTAAGTTCACTAATTTGTTTTGCATTCATTATTTTTTCAATTTAAATGTCTCAGTGGTAAGCATTCTCTCAGGGTTAAAATGGATTTGAAAAAGGTCAATTTTTGTGCTGCTGTTTATTGTTGGGATACTGAGAAAAGAGGAATGTCTCTGACTCAAAGCTAAACAGCTCGTATGTTGAATATGAAGGCATATTATCCTATGCCTAAGTGTGTGTTGTCAGAAATTCTTCCTAAGTGGTTAACTGAAAGGCAGTTCTTTCTCATGACCTCATGAATTGGTAGTCTAGACTGAAGGTCTACAAAAGAGTATTCTTCCCAAATCTAAATATTAAGTGTGAGCAGATCTGTATTTCTGTTAAAAAAAAAAAAAGTATATCTCTTGAGGAATGATGTTTAACATCTGTGCCAAATTACATGTGTAAACTTTGGCTTGATTTAGAAGCTTCTTTTTAGAAATGCTTCTTCGCATTAATATTTTACTGGTGGTGTTTTAATCAATAGATGCTTTAGATTCAGATATTCAAATGAAACACCTTTCCAGCAATTTGTCAAAACATTTCATTAGAAGAAAATAATGCAAGTCAAGAAAAGTTTATAAAATGTAGTCGGAAACATAGGATAGAATAAACTTTGATTAGTTAATATTTATCTTTTAGAAATATTTGCATAGAATCATTGTTTATTGAAATCTAGGATTAGCTGTGGTTGAGCTTTACGTGAATGGTTCCAGGATTCATTTTCATTTATTTATTATTTATACACCACCTGCTTCCAAAAAAGATTTGAAAGCAGCTCTCTCCGTTAAGGACTGTGGTGAAACTATAAATATATCATTAAAAATTAACAAAAAAAGCCTAGTTACTTGGATCCAGAATTGAGCATGTTAAGGACAATTTCAGATAGACTGGGGAATGGTTTGTTTGGGTAAGATGGTTTGTTTTTTCACCAAATATATGATCTTAAAGACCTCTTAGCTCACTTAGTCTGTGCCCTTCACTGATGAGTGATTGTAGAATGTTTTCCAGCACGAATTCTAGTTTTAAGTGAGCCAAGCACTGTCCTCATATTTTCAAAAGGTCCACCTGACAAGATTCCTCCACCTACAAGACCTCTACCAACAGTGCCCCCACACCGCTCTATTCCTCCGGCTGACCCAAGGAAGAACGACAGGCCAAAACCTCCCCGGCCTCCCACCGGCAGACCTTCCTATCCTGGAGCCAAACCCAACATCTGTGATGGAAACTTTAACACTCTAGCTATTCTTCGCCGTGAGATGTTTGTTTTCAAGGTAGGAGGCTGTGTTTTTTTTTTTTTTTGTACCGGTAGATCAAGTGCCTACTGTGTCGCTTTAGAAAACAAGCTCTCATTCATTCTAACACTGCCTTCCCAGCCCTCTCACAGAAGGTTCAAAAAAAGCATCTTAAAAAATAAATGTACAAACGGGCTTAAATGTGTAGCAGAGGATTGCTATAACATTCTATTTTGGGAATGCATTTATGTCAGCAAAAGCTAAAATGCCTAGAAATGTGAGGTTAAGAAAATGATGCATGTTACAAAGAGATAAAATAAAGCATAATTTAAATCATGAATAGGAACTAATACAGATGATTTCCCTGGGAGCTCAGGCACTTTCAGGCCTACTGCAGTTATTGTATCTTTGGTTTACACATCCTTAAGAGATCCCTATAATTTCACTTGACAATCAAAGCATTGCTTTTTTTTAGGAAGAGTATAGATTATTTTTTTGGGGGGTCTGCTGGTAGCCATTTGAGTCACATCTCCTCTATGAGATTATCATTTTGAATTTACCTATTTCCAAGGGTATTGCTGTTGTTTTTTTCAGTCAGGCATTTATATCTACCTAATTTATATACGTATTTTTTTTGAAGGCTACAAGCTAAAACTAGGCACATCACATGTAGTCGTCATTCTTTCTGAAAATGCTCTAGTAATTTTACATTTTGCTAAATGTGCTTCCCAATGCCATTATATTCTCAGATAATGACAATAATAAACAGTGTATCAAAGTAAGTTACATAATACTGAAAGTGAATATAGTTGCAATACTGAAAAATAATTTTCTACCCTCAATATTTGTAAACCAATCTTAAAGATTAATGAAGAAGCTAAGTTTATATGTTGGCATTAAAGTATTAAAATCACCACATGGTACTACTATCATCCATTTAAAAATAAAATAATGTGCTCTCATTTATGGTGGACATGAATCAATAAACAGTGAAATATTGGCCTATTATACAGAATGTCCTTTCTACCAGAGGCTAGACTTTAAAAATATAGATTTCATTTAATTTTTAATAGACAAAGTATTCTATTTATTAGAAAATAAGATCTGGATTTGATATAATATGCACAAGAGCATCATACTTTCCAGGAGAAATCAATGCTTTTGTTAAACACATGAATAGATTTTTGAATTATAAAAATGCCCTGCAATGCTTAAGTAGGTATCTCCCATTCAATTTTCAAGTAGGTTAATAAATTTAGATTCAATGAGTAAAGAAGAAGTGTACTTAAATGTGTACATATATGTATATACATACATATATATGTAAAAATGATGTGGTGGTATCAGACCTCCTCTGACTTCACAATGGGGAAGGAGAATCACCATCAGCATCAGCCCAAGGCTGATTACTGTGAAGGTAGAGGTCAGACATAAACCTCTCTCCAACTGTTTTTACCAATTCTGACACTAGTCATCCTTCCCATGGCACTCTCTACTTCTCTGCTGGGTTTGATAATTCCTTGAAAGGCCACACAGAACTCACAGACCATACTCACAATTATGGGATTTATTAGAGAAGTAACAGGTTACAATTTAGGATTGGGAAAAACTTAGGATACAGTTCTTTAATCAGGACAACCCACAGGCAGGCCTCTCCCTCGGCTCTTTGGCCTGTTGGCCACTTGTCCTGGTCTCTACCCTCCTGTTCAGGCAAGTGTTACAAAGCTCTTTAGCTCCACCAATAAGTGCTCAAAGGCACCCACTCCACCAGGAAGCCTCGTGCCCAAAAGTGCTCAGCTCTCTTGTTCCCTGGGGGTCAGCATGCCCACTATAGCTGTCTCACTCCGTGGGCTGTGAAGCCCACTGTACCATCTCACACCAGTCTCCTGGTTTCTGCTGCCACTTCTTACCTACTCACTTCATCTCCAGTGTTACTTCTCTCTCCATCTCCTGGGTCTAAGAAGTTGTCGGCGCAGTGACCCCAGCTCCAAAGGTTGCGATCCACTCCTGACTCTTCTTCTGATGGTAGTGAGGTACCCTCTTTACTTCTTGGGGATTGGCACATTTTAAGCCTAGCCAAATGGCAAAACTGACCAATCCCCTACAAGGGTTCCATACACCTTATTTGCATAGCCCCACTTCTGCAAAGGTTGCATGCACTTTATTTGCATTATCAACAGGCTCTCCAATCCCCTTGGTGGGCCACAAGTACCTTATTTGCATAGTTCCATCCAGTCGTTTTGTGGCAGTCACAAGACCATGGCTACAAGGGCCATGTCATAGTAATTCAGTATACCACAATATATGTGTGTGTGTGTGTGTGTGTGTGTATTTATAGATCGTTACTCATTGTGGCTAATCCCACAGCAACTAGTTGAAATGAAAACAAAATACAGTCATTTGTTCTATAAGACACCAAAAGATAACTGAAGGATTTTCTTTTCACTCTGACTGAATTTTAACCTGACAGCTTTGTACCTTGATATCATACTCATATCACCAAAGTGTCAGCCTTATCTTCTTACTGTATATCTTAGACTGGGTTCTTTAGAAGAGCAAAATCAGTGAAGTGTATATATAAATATATGTAGAGAGATTCATTTCAGAAAATGACTCATGAAATTGTAGAGGCTAGCAAATACCAAATCTGTGTGTCAGGTGGCAGGCTGGAGGCTTTTCCTGACTCACGTGGTTGCAGGGCCTGATAAACCCAAAATCTGCAAGACAAGGTGAATGCAGGATTGAATGCAGGTTCAAGAGAGGGTAAGCTTTGCCAGAACATCCATATATGTTGGATGCAGGCCACAGCCCCAGGAAAACCCCCCTTTCAACTGATTGGCTGCTCATATCAGATCACAAAACGGAGGATGATTACATAATATTTGCCAAACCACTGAGAATCGTGGCCTAGCCAAGTTGACACATAACCTTGACCATCACACTATAGAAATACAGAATATGATGTGACATTTACTCTGGTCTATTCTCTTTCAATTATCCTCCCTAATTAGATTGTTGATCTCAGAGAAACAAGTATCTGCATACGTAGTGATTAGTTTCACCAACTTCTTTGCTCTCCACATTGTAGGAGTTTATTTAGTAAGTGCTGCTAACTGACAAAAAGAGATCTTATGACCTCAGGTTCCTGGAATCAGAAATGGATAAAAATTACATAGATCAACTTTAAAGTAGAATGCAAAAGTCACTATTTTCAATATCCAAACAAGTATATAAAACACATTAGTAAAACCTGCTCCTCTAAACTCCCATGTTGTCATGGATTCCTTAAACAAAACTCTCTACAGGACACAGTTCCTAAAGTGTGTCTGAATGTATTTTCTTTTTCATTAGTTTCTGCTCTCTTGCTAAGAGTAAGCCCTGTTGAAGATAGCATCTTTTGATAGACATTGGTTGCTTCTTAATCACCACTTGCTTAAGGAAACTAAGTCACATAACTTCATAATTTTTATACTATCTCATCTTTCATATAATGAATATTTATGCCCAGGGTAGTTTGCAAGGCATTAAGAGGGTGTGAATAGAAGATAACATCCATGTCCTTATAGCTCATACTTCATAAGTGAACACAGACAGGAAGATACTTTTAACATACAAGAGTAGAAAGTATAACATTGACAAAAAGTGAAAGTATGGAGTCTACTTGAGTAGAACAAGAAACTTGTACTGAATTTTGCGAGAGGAATTTGCTAGGAACGTTAATGAAATTAGTATTTGGTGCAATAAATAGCTTGTGTATTGAGGGCAAGAAGACAGATACGTTAACTCTAATGTTGCTGTTGGTATCATTATTGTTGTTAGGGGCTGTCAAGTTGATTCCGACTCATAGCAACCTTACAGGACAGAGTAGAACTGCCCCATAGGATTTCCTAGGCTGAAATATTTATGTGATAAAATCACCAGGTCTTTTCTCCCTCAGAGCTGCTGATGGTTTCAAACGTTCAACATTTCAATTAGCAGCCAAGCGCTTAACTGTTGCTCCACCAGGGCTCCTTGTTAACTCTAATAAACCCAGCCCATTGCCGTCGAGTTGATTCCGATTCATAGCAACCCTGTAGGTCAGAGTAGAACTGCCGCATACAGTTTCCAAGGAATACCTGCCAGATTCAAACTGCCGACCTTTTGGTTAGCATTCTTAGTTCTTAACCACTGCGCCACCAAGGTTAACTCTAATACAAAGTGATAAATGATATAATTTAGGTATATGCAGCATTGGATGGAAACAAAGAGAGCATGATGCAATATTACCTGCTCTTAGTTAATAGCTACCACGAATTGGGTAACTAATAAGTGCTTTGATGTACACTAGGCATTTTACATCTATAGTCTCTGAACCTTATAATAACACTGAAAGGTGAATTTCATTCTTTGTTCTGCAAGTGAGAAAACTGAGAATCATAAAAGTTGAATAGTTGTTCCAAGTTAGAAAGTTCTTAAGTATGGTAGTCAATAGTTGAACACAGGTCTACTTGACTCCAAAATCCATGTCTTTCCCACTAAACTTTGCTTCCTGCAAGAGTCCAGAAAAGCTTCAAAAGAAAAGTGGATTTTAAACTATATTTTGAAAACGTGCATTCAAGAAATATTTATCGAGTTCCTACTGTGAGCCAGACACTGGTTTAGGCACTGGATGTGTATCAGTGAACAAAACAGGCAAGGCTCTGGATTCTTGGAACTATATATTTTAGTTTTCAAAGTAGAAGGGTAGGGGAGAGCACCTTACACAAAGATTCCTCATCTCTTTGGAAATGTCTTGGAAGGATGTGAGTGTGCATACACGTGACAGCAATGGAATTCTGTTTTTGTTTGTGAACAACTGCTTGTCTCCTAATTTCTCCCACTCTATCTACTTAATCTAGACTACCTTCTCTTCTAAATTAATGTCATTACCCCATATGTAGTCTTCCTGCCTGAAATTACTCTCTGCCAGTCCACCTTGCATACTCTCGCCTTTTAAGTTTTTCTTTAATATATACATCATTTTTCATAGTTTGCTACTTATTGACTTCAGGTATATTTTA